TTTCTGAGACTTCGATGTAGCCTAGGTTGGCCTTAAACTCTCAGCTCTCCTGTCTTTACCTCCTGGGCACAGGAATCACAGTGTGTATGACTATTCCCAGATCAATGTCAGCACATGCCCCCCCCCAAACACACACACATCAAGTTTCACTTCTTTACCCTCCTCCACCTACTCTACACACCAATGGATATATTTCCAGTTCTATAGCCTGGCCACGCCTCCAGTCCTCTCAACTGGCCTCCCTAATTAAGTTGTTTAATCTGACATTCAAGATTGTCTATGGTCTTGAATGGATTCAACTCACAGTTTGTCTACTGTCAAATCTTCTAAACATCAAACAGCTCAGCATCCCTGTGGTCACGGTTTTCCTCTGCTCATGTTTCCAGTGTGCCATTCTGTTCCATGAATCTGTGCTTCTGTACACACTTCTTAGGTTTTGTGGTGATTTGGACAAGCCACCCCCATAGGCGCCTGCACCTGAACAGTTGGTGCCCAGTTGTTGTTGGTGTTTGGGAGGTAAGTGTTCAGAGTTAATCATAAGGAGGAAGTACTTAAGACAGACACAAAGAAAGAAGTCATTCCTTAGTGAACATAAGAGACAAAGGGGACAACACACTTCACATCAGAAATAGTAAAAGCCAAAAACTACCAACAACAAAACCCAGGAGGATGTCTGCTTGCATCACTTCTGTTCAACAGTGTGCAGGGGTCAAAGATATGAGAAGAAAGTTAAGGATGTCCTTGGCTTAGGGAGGCATAACTCATGTCCATGGATCAGAAGATCCAGTGTTGTTAAGAAGTTAGTTCTGCTCAAATGGTATAAAGATTGAACACAATCTCACTCAAAGTCCCCGTGGGATTTGGGGCAGATTGATATGGAAATTGACAATAGTCTCAAATGTGAGTAGAATATCATGCAAACAGGCTATCTATGCTGTCCAAAAAGATCTATATCCCTGCAAGACATATAGTGACTACAAACACTAAAATAATCACTCTGCAGTAGAGAAATACAACAGACATTGTAAGAACTAATTTAACCAGCACCACCAGGAATATGACATTGGCATCATACACCTCCTGGTATGCTGACTTGAGGTCACAGCATCTTTTTTGTGTTATTTTTGATAAAATAAATAGTGAAATCTAAACTGAACTGTGACAGAAATCAGATAAAATCAAATTGAAGATCTTTCTGAAACAACAAACTGGCAATACTGCTCAGAAAATCAAGGTCATGAATGCCAAAGATGGAAGGATTGTGACAGCTTCAAGGAGGCTAGCAGGAAGTGACAACTAAATCAAATCAGGGGTCCCAGTGAGATCCCATACTACAGGAGGGCATTAGAATATTATTTAATAGTACATCAGTGTTCATTCCCAGTTTCAGTGGCTGTGTACATGTACATGGGGAGACTACAGGGAGGGGGAAGAAGAACAAACTGTACTAACTTTATAATATGAATCTAAAATCATTTCAAAATACTTTGGAAACTGATAAGACCTGAGGGTCTGCCACCAAAATTCATTAAAAAAAAAAAAAAAAAAAAAAAAGTGTGCTGATGGAAATCCTGATGGTCAACCAAAAATAAAAGTAGAGAGCCCAGACCTAAAGAAAGAATTCAGAGTGCTGGGGACAGTAGAGGTATGTGGTATGTATCAAAGCTAAATGTATTTGGTTCCCAGGTTCCTTAAAATAAACAACTTTTCATTGGATGTGGAGGCACAGTCCTGCAATTTCAGCAGTAAGGGGTACTATGAGTTTGAGGCAGACAAACAAGACAAAACATTTAACATTTGAAATCATAAAGAATAATGATATGCTACAGAATTATCAGTAAAATATATTGCAAAAGCATGTAGGTTTTTAGGATAGAGACAGGCCTGTGAAGTTTTAAGCTGCTTGGATTTTCTTAGGACTATGACAATAATTAATGGTAAATATGATAAGCTCAAGGATGCTCTGCAAACCATCAACTATAGGATTGGGATAAAAAAGTAAAAATATTTTTAAATAGATATATTTAATGAACCTAAACAAGAAACAGAGTAAATTTTTAATTCAATTACTCTAAACAAGATATATAGAAGATAATTAGCAAAATTCTAGGCCCAAATTCCAAGACAATATAACACACTAAGTGTCACATATACAATAATTACATACAATAATTAAAAGGCACAGAGTGCCAAGCAGGCTAAAATACAATAACTTATGTGCATGCTCTCAACAAAAATCACTCTTTTAAATGTGGATAGATTGAAAGTAAAAGAATAGAAAAGTCTGTTGTAGAAATACTAAGTCAATAAAAACTAGAACATGCCTGTCAGTATCACAGAAAGCAGACTTCAGGACAAAGAAATCATCTTCTAAAGAAATCTAATCATTAAACTAAGAACATTTTGAAACACATGCAAAGACAGAATTTAAGAATCACGGACAGAATTTAGAGAAGAAACACAATTACAGCCATAGTTGGAAATTTCAGTAACTGGCAGTAAATCAGTAAAAGAAGATAAAACACTACAAAGAACTAATTAGACCTGACGTATATAGAATGCTACATCAGTCATGCCAGAATACAAATCATTTCAAGTGTACATGAGATGCTCACCAAGACAGATAACATATGGGTCTCAAGCAAATGTTCAATACATTTTTAAAAAGACTGAGGGAGCAGCAGGAAAAGGCGCCTGCTGCTAGGCCTGGCAGCTTGAGTTCAATTCCTAGGACCCACATGGTAGGAGGAAAGAACCTATTCCCAAAGAGCATTGTCCTCTGCCCTCCACACATCCACACTAACAGTGACACCAACAAAAAAGATGTAAGATAATCGTGTCTTATAAAAATTAAAAAGCTTGAGATATTAAGTATATATTATATACAATAATTATATATAATATACCAACATTAACAAAGTAAAATTGAAATCAATAACAGAAAATATTTAGAAAATATCCAAATAATTGTAAAACTAAACAATACATTTATAAATAGCCCACAAGCAAGAGAATTCTAAAGAAAAATAGAAAGACCATAAGTAATAATAAAAATGCAAAATATAAAACCATCTGAGCAGTATCCAAAGCAGAACATACAGGGATATTTATTGTATTAAGGTTTCAGCTGGGAGGAACCCTACAATAGAGACCCTGCCTCAACACATGGTGGAGAGAAAGAACCACCTCTGCCCACTACATGTGAGCCATTGTCTCAGGCAGGCCACATGTGAGCCACTGTCTCAGGCAGACCACATGAGAGTCACTGTCTCCACATGAGAGTCACTGTCTCAGGCAGGCCACATGTGAGCCACTGTCTCAGGCAGACCACATGAGAGCCACTGTCTCAGGCAGACCACATGAGAGTCACTGTCTCCACATGACCACATG